TATCACAGACAAGTAACATTTGAACCCCTGTGCAGTTATCCTACATGCATATAGATGTGTTAGAGCATCAGTGGTGAATAGCACAATGGCATCTGATACGGATGTTATTAGGGATACATCAGTGATTGGTGAGGAAAGCTCTCTTCCTTCCAGCAGTCTCTAATCTTAGACAATTTCGTGTCTCATGGTAGATTCTTGATAATCTTTCCTCAAGAAAGTTTCCCCCACAGCTATATCTCCCGAAAATTTCACATTGCTCCCATCTCCAACCTTGAAATTAAGATATTTTCAATGGGCTGTCTGCATTTGCTTATGAAGTGCCAGGGGCTTCTTTTACTGATGCTTTCTTTGGTAACCATCCATGACTATTAACCTCACATTTTATTTTGATAAGCTCAACTGCATACTTTGTCATCCAATATTAATCTCCCTAGCAAGTTTTCAACAGGGAAAATTCCAACTCCACTTAGCTGCAAAAGCAATGTTCCTTTTCTTCAAGTTTTCGGGACAGAGACCTCCTTTGTCTTTGTTCTAAAGAGAAATTTCCAACTTGTGAGGTGGTACCCTTCTTCAGCACCAATTTTAGCCCAAATATAGTTTTGAACTTTACTTTCCAAGAGATTAACTACCTTTGTTGGCATTTGTAAAAAAACAAGAAGGATTAACTCTACTGCAACCCGCCCTTTCAAGATTGCACAATTATCAAAAGAATTTGAAAAAGAAATCTAGGAAGGAACCACATTAATATGATTACTGGAACAACTTGATACTAAATTGAACATAAAAACAAAACAGCAAGCATGCAGAGAAAACGTACTTGCAAACAATGTTCTCAAAAGACATAATCACAGTAACTTAATAAGCTTAAAATGGAAACTACACAGAATTACAATGCTGTAGCTTGCAGCTACACACTTCCATAAAGAAAAACAAACAAAAAAAAGGAAAAACGAAAAGAACAAAAGTGGAACTTTCAAAATCAGAGCCAAAATGTGTAGAAATTCAAGAAGGGTCATGAAGTAGGCGAAAATTGAAATGGTTTGGTGGTTATCTCTGTAAGTGGTCATGCCAGCTACAAATTGTAATCTGTAGTCAGATTAAGGATCATAGTAACTACTACAACCACATCCTGACGCCAAGTTTGTTGAAACAATGGTATTAGTCTGTTTAGTCCAAAGGGGATAATGGATCAGAAGTATAAAATATCTAGCTGCACATCCCTAAAGCTAAAGAAGTCATAGAAATCATCCCGTTTATCCCTAGTTGTACACTTGTACGAGAGAAGGTTCCTAGACAATCATGATATGTTCTTTTCTGGGCTACACTAGTTGAAGGAGAGGCCATCAATCAACTGTGTGGAGAACAACTTGAAGTCCTAAAAAAAGGACTTCTAGACTGTTCATGATCTTTCTTAATTTATTTCTATGATTTATATGCAGTTAAAGGAGAGGCTTCCAACTGAGTTTGTGGAGTAGCACTTAAAATGTACTGTTTTCTTATTAGCCAGTCTAATGAACCTTTCTTTTATGCCAAATGCGCAATATTAGAAATCACATGCCTCTTACACATGGATCTACCTTACCAAACCTACCTCTACATCAGTATCACATAAATCGATAAGGATATCAAACATTTCATCAGCAAGTTTAAGAAATAGAAAAAGGTCATATTTAATCTGGTAATACCCCATTGCCACTTACCCCATAGGAACAAGAAATGTGAAGCATGAGTATTGAGTATAGACAATAGGGCACTGTACAAAATGATTGTCAAATACCAAATTCACTCAATCAACTGTGTGGTCGCAAAAAAAATTCTAAAAATCGTCAATCAAAAGGGATAAGAGAAGAATAACTAGAGACATCTTTCTTTAGTTAAAAGAAGGCTTCTAGAAGACGATGGCATTCTAGATGAAAGGACTATAAATAACTTATTATGCCATTGGGTTCAACTAAAACTCCAAGAATTTTTCATGAGGCTCGTGAACCAAGTTATTCAACTTCTCGTCAATTGTTTTGCTCTCATTGAGTTGGATAATGTCCTTGCGAATAGAAGATCCATTCAGGACCATCTCGGACACATACATAAGACTAGCAAATAACTATCATGCCTTACTTCATAAAGCAGAAGGGTAATATGTAAGTCGCAACATTTCCTTAAAAGCACTAACCATTCTCTGAAACACATAGGCGCAACAGAGAAGTAATATGAGAATCACTGCTTCAATAGAAAACTCATTGCACAAGTTGCAATCTCAAGTTCTATCCAAGAGTTGCAGCAAAGAGAGAGCGAAATAACACGCTGCTATACACGTGAAATGAAAAGGAGCGGAAGCAACCTGTAAAGCTCTTCGAAGCTGAGCCCGCTAGCGTTATGATTGTATATCTCGTGAATTGCATGTTCCAAAATCTTCCACGTCTTCTCAGCATATTTCGGATCCACCACGACCCGGTGCTTAAAGGCCTCTATCTGGAAATTCCTCTTCTTCTGCGCACTCATGGCTTCCAAAGATCGGATCCCAGAAAACCCTTAATCTTAATTGGATGGTCGAACCCTCCAACGAAGCCCTAGGTTTTGGAAAGACGCAGACGGATCAATTTTCACGGAAAGAGCAAGCAACAAAGAATGATGGAAGAAGATTTGAGAAAAGGGAAATGGATTACAGACAGAAATGAGAAATTGGACGAGGGAAAGAACACGGAAATCAATATCGAGAGGATTTAAGAAGCGCCTGGACAATTTTTGAAAGCAACAATTTGAAGAGAAAAAGGAACAATGGAACAAAAATTTACACTTTTAATTGAAATTATCCTTTTCTTCTCGACGTGGTTCTCTTTTTCCTTCGATTTAACTGAGATGGGTTGCCCAAGCTTGGGAGGGTCAGACTGGCTTTGCAGCCGGGCCAAATTGGGGCGGATGGATCAGACCGGTCTAACTTATTGCTTTTCTTTTTCATTTTCTTTTTCTCTACAACTTTATAGTAGGTGACAAATTTAATGAAATTTACAAATTTTAATATGCCCGAACCTATCCGACCTAAATTATAAGAATTGGGTTGAATTAATTTTTTAGGACCCGATTTGGTTCGAGTTGAGTACGGGTTCATTGTACAAAAGATCAAGTCAACCCGACTTAACTCGATTGCATAAAAAGAAGAAGAGAACAAGTTGCCAAGCCCAACCCATGTCCTTCTTATTAAACCGATGACCACACTACTCACTACCCACTCGGTTCTTCTTCTTCATCAATTCATCTTCTTCATTCTTCATAGTTCCTCCCTTCCACAATGCACCACCTCATGTAGACCCACAGGCACAGTTGCACTCCTTCTAGTACTTCTTCACCGTCGCACTCCTTATATCATAATGAACTAGGATGCTATTAGTAAATTTGATGACTATAACTCAATTGCAAACTCGACAACCCAATTCGAAATCTCTCAATTCCTCGGTTGGTGTCAGAGACATGAAGATTCAAGATAGCTACTAATGGTACAACTAAACTAAACACTCAACTCAGTGATAACTATTGTTTGTGAAGTTTATAGGTGGCTAAGCCTTGCCGCTATCAACTTTACAATTTTAAAACGCGTTTGTTAAAAAGAAGTGTTCACACTCTTGTAAAAAAAATGTTTCGTTTCTCTATCAATCCGATATGGAATCTCACATTTTGTCAAAAAAACCTCAACCGATCCTATAGAGCTCAACCACAAATTGTACCATAACTACAATTTTTTAAGATTACTACTTAACTCCAATACTATTTGTTAAAAAAAATGAAATCTATATATTTTCGTAACTGTGTCATATCATCCACTTAGAAAATAATTAGTTTATAACTAAAGTGAACAACATGAAAATATGTTGTGGTTCACTAGCTAGTTATCAATCGATCACGTTTCATATTTGATAAACCTCTTAGGTTTTTTTCACACTTACTTACTATGTACATGAGCATGTATTCTTCATTTTAATAACTCATCTCCACCTCATATTTATATCTCTATTTTTTAAAAAATTTAACCGCAGACATCATAATATCAACATTTGAAATGATAATTAATGTTTTATTTCTTAAAATACTTTGAATAACATTTTAGGAGAGAAGCAACCTATAATAATTTGAAACGATTTTAGAGGGTAGGGTTAATTTTTTTAATAACAATATTAAAGATTTCATGATAGTGATACATACCCTTTGCGATAATATTTTAATCCATTAATCAACCTCAAAACTTCGCCTCAATTTTATCTTAAATTTTAAATATAATTATTATTTAATCAAATTTCAATTCAATTTTAGGGATCAAATTAAAAATTAAAAAATATAAACGTTATAAATCTCATAATTTACGAAGTCATCGATGAAATCAAAACTTTTAGAAGGTACCTATAGCAAACTTTATATTCCTCGTTTATGCAATTTTCTTTTGTAATTATAATAATACAATTATTGAGGACACGTCAGATCGTGAAAGGCCGTGACGCTCCATCCATCACCCGCCGTCCCACTTGCAAATTCCCACCCTCCCATGCCACCTGTCTCCCAAGACCTTGCTAACGTCACTTACACCCTCGGTCACCGTCTGGGACCCACCACTTCACGCCCACTCACGTCCTGCCACGTCTCCTCCCTAAGAAACATGCAAGTTTATCGCATCCACCAAAATCTACCTTACCAGTCTTCTTTCGCCACGTAACGAAAAAATATTACCACCACGGATTATTAAAATGACGTGGCGTGGGAGAGGTGGAATTGCACTAGTGACGTGGCGAACAGCGAGAGAAATATCCATAAAAAGAAAATAAAAAACGAAAACCCTTTTCCTTATAAGAGGAAAACGGTTTTTTGACCTTTCCATATAACCCCATTGTCACTTAACACGTGTCCCAATCATTCCGCACGTGCCTTCCGCCAGGCAATCACCTGGAATCGCACCCTTTAATCTCCAGAGTATATAATACAAAGGCACGGCCTCTGTTTTTGCGTCACTTGAGAGGAAGGGCAAAGGAAAAACAGAAATACAAACTGAACCACCAGTACACGCCGTCGTTATGACGAAGCAGTTGAAAGAGAATCAAGAACCATTCATCTCCGGCACCGGCGAAGACGAGTTTCCGGCGGCGGCGCCAGAGTCGATGAGGTCGATTTGTAATCCTTGTGATTTTCACTCTTCGAAGACGTGCAAGGAAGAGGAAACGGATCAGGAAAGTATAGGATCGTCGGAGGAAACTGAGTCGCCGAAATCAGTAGCGAAGGTTGCGGACTGGAGGAAGAAAATGGCGTATGTTCATTACCAGATTCGGAGAATCAGAGAGGAGGATTTGCATCTTGGTGAAGACATCGGCGAAGGCTTCAACGCGAAAGAGAAGATTAATTCGATCGGAGATTGGTGCGATGTTCGACATAATCCTCCTCACTCTTATCATAATGATCGCGTTAGTTCTCAGATGAATGTTGTAATTTTCTCGAGGCCGATTTTGCCTAGCTCGCCGCTCAGCGGGAAGAACAAATACAGAACTATAAGTTAAACAAGGTACGATTATTCTTCATTCGATTTCGATTCTGCAAAATTAATTAAATCTTTGAGGAAACTGAAGGTTTCGATTCTCGTGATTGAGTTAGTTTTGGATACTGATTTTGCAGGAGAGAGATTAGTTAGAGTGCGCAGGAAGTGAAAAATTGGGGGAAGTTTTGATCTCTGGTATATGGCTGCATAGTTGTAGGGTTTGTTTGAATTTGTTAGGGCAAAATTAGCGAAATGGAACGATCAAAAAATTTGAAGGATGAAACCTCTACTGTGTAAAGCCTAATCTCAATCGTAAAACAGAGAAAAAAAAATGCATGAATCCTGATGTTGTAAATAAATTTCCTGCTTTTTCTTCTTCTCTTTGAGTTTATTTCTGATTTGTTTCTTTGATCTCTTCATTCAAAACTTGGATATCTTCCGAAGGTCTCTATCTATATTTACGGATACTTGTAATAGAAATTGTTTTTGAAAATGTTTCCTTTTAGAAAACTGATTCCACAAAAACTAATTGGAAGTACATATATTTTTTAAAAATTTGTTAAAACAACTATTAACTAAAAAATAATCTAAAATAAACACCTCAATTTTAAATATTTTTTAATTATGCTCCTGTACTTTTGAAATTTTTTATTTGTCTTTATTTTGAACTTTGGAACAAAAAATGCTCTTGAGCTTCAATGATTTTTAAAATATTTGTTCTTCAAAATAAACTATCAAAATTTAGAAGTTAAAAATCATTTCTCATATGTAGTTTGTTGAGAGGTTTTAAATACAACTTACTTTAAAAAAAATTAAATTAACTTGATACATGTAATTTCAACCTGAAATTAAGGAATTCAAATTTATGATTTTTAGATCAAAATATGTATTTTATGCTAATTAAATTCAAACCTAGTATTTTATGATGGAATATTTTCCTAACAGATTGATTATTAGAAATTGATCTCCTATAGTTTCATGCAAATATTTAAGGGCAATTAAAATTTTCCTTTTCCTTTTAAATATTTTCTTAACAAAATTATTCATAATCAAAGCACTCATTTCCTCAAATTTATTTGATTTGCTTTATACTAAAAATGCTTATACTAATATCAAATTATTAAATACTAGGAATAAATAACTTTAATGGAGTGGTAGTCAATAATGGCCAATAATCTTAATCACCGATGATTGAAACTAGAGATTGATGACTATCGTTAGCCACTAGTTCTAACCGCTGATGCAAATCACCACATCGAGGATATGCAGGATTGCCCTAACCACTCTCCATAATTGGAAAAAGCGAGCACTAAAGAAATACACATCATTCATAGACAAAGGGAAATAGCATTGGATACTTTTCCGAGAGATCTCCTCTAAATCATTGATACTATCGATAGAATCGTGAGCACCAAAATGAAAGAAAGTTGTAGATAGACGGTGGTATTAGGACTGTGAAAGCTATCCACCACATGATGATCTAATTGCAGTGGTGCCTTTGAAGAGAAATAAATGGACCATGCTTTTGACAACAACCAATTATCAAATCACTTTGCCCAAAAGTGATTTTCCTTTATAATACATACTATCTTTCAACAACAAGATGGTGCATCTTATCATTATGTCTCTCCACTGTGTTTATAAAAACAACCAACTTTAAGGTCATATTTTATCAGAGTTCTTCATTACTGGATCTCAATTGATTCTGATTCAGTTCTTGAATGGAAAGATTGATGCCCAAATGAAATGGGTTTTAGATTGAAAACCAACCAAAACAATGAACAAATTCAAGAACAATCAAACTCAATTGCGATTCAATCATGAATGGCTCATACTGGTTTCTGGTAAAATGCAAGATTCCAGGCTTAAAAAGGCAAGAAAACAGAGCAGAAATCAGCGTCTGGTATAAACACTCTGTATTTGGTAATCTGAATACAAAAATCTCAGGTTTTAAGTATACAATTTTTCTCAACACACAGATGAGGATGAAATGCTTCACATAACATTATTGTTCTGTATTTTCCCCAATTAATCCTCCAAAACTTCTCCACTGTACAAACAAAAGGAAAGAACAGAGAGAATTTTCAGATTTGTACCTTGCAAGAGTCATTAATGGCAGCAGATGGGGCACCTCACAAGCCCATTTTCATTGCAATCAGTACACCTCTGGAAGCCATATCCATCTTCTGCTTCTTCTTCTTCTTCTTCTTCATAAAACACTTTACAGCTTCCAGAACATGTCTCACATGGCACAAATCTAATGTCCCCACATGCCTCACAGACTCCCCCATCGTCATTTTCAAGCTTCTCGCAGCATTCAAGCAGTTTCTCAAGCTGCCCATCTTCGTGTAGTCTGCGAATTTCTTCAGCGCCACCGATTTGCTTCCTCCCAATGAACACTCTGGGCAAGCTTTTCTGATCTTCCATTAATAGCTGCTTGAGCTCCTCTTTAAACCCATTATGCATTGACACATCTCTCTCGTCTACACGAATCCCAATGGCTCTCAGAATGCTTCTAACATCACAACAGTCTTCATATGTCTTACGAATCCCTCTCAAGCTCGTGAAGTATAGAATTACCTTATCCCTCTTCTTCTCCTCCGGCCAACTGTAAAATTTCTTAGATTCCACGGCGGCTAACGGCGGCTGTTGGTGCTTTGTGTTCTCCACCGGGCGGAGATAAAATGAGTGATCCGGGGTGAGCTGCTGAAGAGACTTTCGAAACGATGAAATCACTTCCGGGTCGAAATCGGAAGCCATTGAATCAGAGTTCAAATTCCCATCACCGATTTCATCTTTTTCTTCTTTTAATCGAAGCCAGAGAGGTTTATGAGATGAATCGGTACCATTTTGTTTCGGAATCGGCTTGGGCTGATCGATGAGGGATCGATAATCATACGTACGGCTACCGAAATCAAACGAGAAGCTTCGATATCGGCTCGGAGACCAGAGAGGGCTAACATCCTCTAGCCCTTCCATGAGCTCCCATATGTTGATCGTCTCCGGCTCCCCCGGCGGCGTTCTGATCGGAGTTTTCGATGCGGTCTTAGGGATTTTCTCTCTGATTATGTTCGACCATGTCTTCGCTTCCGCCAATCCCATTCTGAAATCCTCAATCGTCTTGGAATTGTCGCTCCTCTGCGACTGACAGCAATAATTAACACTACCGCTACCGCCACCGCCACCGCCACCACTTCCGAGCTCCAACGAGCCTAATGTGGAGGACGTTAGGGCTACGACATGATAACTATCGCCTTTGGCCTGTGGTGGATGATGAACTTGCATAGAGTAGCTTCGAGAAATCGGCGAATACGGCCGCCGGCAATGCCGGCACCGATTTGGTTTCGAGTTTACACATCCCATTGACGAAGTAGATAGACAGTAAAAGAAATGATAACATAAATCGATCACAAATTTTTCAAAGCGACATTCTGTTTCTTGATTAAATCGGATGAAGGGGAATGAATATTAGGAAGTGAATGAACGAAATCGGTGGATTTCAAAGAAAATTGTTTCTGAATCAAAACACAGAACAAATTGACATTCTAACAATCGCAAGAACCCTAGTTCCCCCTTTTTCTTCTTCATCTGATCGTCAATGAAAAATCAATCCCCAAATTGCAGAAATGGAAATCTCATAGCAAATCAGAAGAAGGAGAGGAAGCATCAATGGCGGATTAAAAGTGGTGAATTCAGAACCCAAAACCATGCCGACGTTCTACTTATACTTTCCTCAACAAAATCCAAACCTATTTTTTAACTTTTATCTCCCTTCATCTTCAACCTTAGGCAAATAATTACAGAGACATGTGTGGCCATGGCAGGCACGTGCTGCACGTGAGCTTTTAGGTTGTTGTGTTTCCGACAATTGTGTCCAAAGTTCTAAAAGTGAAAAAAGGAAAGAACTTTGGATCTCACAGCTCCCATTTCCAGTTGCCATCATAGCTGCAGCTGATGAACCAGGCGAGTGATTAAACAAACCCTTATTGTCGATACGAATCTGCTAAAAGAGCGGAGAATTTGTATGTAAGAACGATGTATTTGTTCGTACAAGATGTTTAGAATGGACGTTGTAAGTATAATTTCAATATGTTTGAACTCAAAGTGAACAGTATCACGTTGTTTGGAGAGACCAAAATTGTCGTATCTAAGTAGTAGTAATAGAGACATATCCTAGACTTAACTTCGACCGACAATCATGTAAAATAATTGTGCATAAAACCCTTGAATTATTCTGTGAGATCTCATATCGATTAGAGAGAAGAACGAATGCCAGCAAGGATAGTGACCTCAACGAAGAGTGAATTGTGAGATTTTGCATTAGTTGGAGAGAAAAACTAAGTATTCTTTATATGAATAGCAAACCCGTTTCAAAAACTTTGAGAAGAAGCTCGAAAGAGAAGGCTCGAAGAAACAATATCAACTAATAGTAGGCTTAATCATCATCACCATGACTGGCCCGCTTTGATGGGAGCTTTGTGCACGACGACCTTTTTTCGTCCTATAATATGTTGATTATTGTTGCCTTTTTTCCCCATCTCTCCCTCTCTTTCTTTTCATCTCTTTTTTTGCTTTATTTTTCCCTCTGGGTTAAGTGTTTCTTCCTGTACAGATGAATTTCTAAGACACGGGGAAGACGCAATCATTTACGTTCACATCAATTCAATTCAACTAACTTTTATTAAATTTCGTTATTTATTAATACTTATATTAGAAAGATTCATAATTAATTATTATTATATTATTGGTGATATATAACTGAACGTATAGAGAAATAAAACATGATTAAAAAAAATTGGGTCGAGATTAGAAGACATAATTAAATACATCTACCTTTAGTTAAAAAAGTACATATGCATCTTCATACCTTAACACCATACTCCATAGTCGCTTCAAACATGTCTTTAAGCATAAGTTTAATTAATGCCAAAACCAAATTTTTTTAAAAAAATTTAAAAAGAAATTAGCGAGGCTATTTAATGCAATATCGGAGTAAAATAGAGGTACATGAATGAACTGAAACTACGTACAAATGCAAATGAGAGTGTTAGGAATGTTTAAAAGAAATTAAATAAAAATATTTATCGATATAATTTTATTTTATTTTTTTAATGTTTTTATCTGTGTTTTATTGTAAAATTGAGATGTTGCAAATTCACGTGAATTTTAAAGAAATGATGTATTTACATATGGAAGGTTGTTTTACTTGCCATCAATTCTACTTTCCATACTAAATAAT